GCAATCCCTATCAAAATAACAACAGCATTCTCCAATGAACTAGAACAAACACTGCTAAAATTCATATGGAACCACAAAAGACCCTGACTAGCCAAAGAGATCTGAGAAGGAATAAATCTTGGAGGATTACACTCCCCAACTTCAAGCTCTATTACAAAGCCACAGTAATCAAGACAATTTGGTACTGGCACAAGAATGGACCCATAGATCAATGAAATAGAATAGAGAGTCCAGATATAAACCCACACATATATGGCCAATTAGTATATGATAAAGGAGCCATGGATACACAATGCAGAAATGACAACCTCTTCAACAACTGGTGTTAGCAAAACTAGACAGCTGCATGTAAGAGAATGAAACTGGATTACTGTCTAACTCCATACACAAAAGTAAACTTGAAATGGATCAAAGACCTGAATGTAAGTCATGACACCATAAAATTCTTAGAAAAAAACATAGGCAAAAATATCATCAATATAAACATGAGCAACTTTTTTCTGAACACATTTCCTTGGGCAAGGGAAACAAAAGCAAAAATGAACAAATGGGACAACATCAAACTAAAAGGCTTCTGTATAGCAAAGGACACCATCAGCAGAACACAAAGGCATCCTACAGTATGGGATAATATATTCATAAATGACATATCCAATAAGGGGTTAACATCCAAAATACATAAAAGACTCACATGCCTCAACATTCAAAAATCAAATAACCCAATTAAAAAATGTGTGAAAGATCTGAACAGACAATTTTACAAAGAAGTAATTCAGGTGGCCAACAGGCACATGCAGGTGCTCCACATTGCTAATCATCAGGGAAATGCAAATTAAAACCACAATGAGATGTCAGGGCACACCAGTTAGGATGGCCAACCTCTAAAAGACAAGGATGTGGAGAAAGGCGTACATTCCTGCAGTGTTGGTGGGAATGTAAATTAGTTCAACCATTGTGGAAAGCAATATGGAGGTTCCTCAAAAAACTTAAAATAGAAATACCATTTGACTCAGGAATTCCACTCCTAGGAGTTTACCCTAAGAAAATAAAAATCACAGATTCAAGAAAACATATTCACCCTTATGTTTATTGTGGCACTATTTACAATAGCCAGTTCATGGAAGCAACCTAAGTGTCCATCAATAGATGAATGAATAAAGAAGATGTGGTACATGTACACAGTGGAATTCTATTTAGCCGTAAGAAGAAAACAGATCCTACGATTTGCAGCAACATGGATGCAGCTAGAGGGTATTATGGTTAGTGACATAAGCCAGGCAGAGAAAGACAAGTACCAAGTGATTTCACTCATTTATGGAATATAACCACAAAGCAAAAACTGAAGGAACAAAACAGTAGCAGACTCACAGACTCCAAGAAGGGACTAACAGTTACCAAAGGGAAAGGGTTTGGGGATGGTGGGAGGGAAGGGAGGGAAAAGGGGATTAAGGAGTATTATAATTACATACATAATTAGGGGGGCACAGGGAAGGCAGTATAGCACAGAGAAGACAAGCAGTGACTGTGGCATCTTACTACATTGATGGACAGTGACTGCAATGGGGTGTGGGTTGGACTTAATAATATGGGTGAATGTAGTAACCACAATGTTGCTCATGTGAAATCTTCATAAGGTTGTTCATCAATGATACCTTAGTAATAATAATAATAAAAGATACACTGCCTGCTTCAAGTCCCTCCCTGTGACATGGTCTCTCTCAATTCCTAGACTTTGCATATGCTTCTCCTTCCAGCCAGAACACACTTACTCCTTGCAGCCTATCCAACTCCTAGCTCCTGTTACCCTCCTGACCACACCCCCAAGTAAGTATGACACCTCTTCTGATTGCTGCTTGTACTTACCCCTCTTGAAATATCACAATAGCTTACAGGCTATAGGCAGCTTCAGGGTGGAGACTTGTCCACCGTTTCCCCTTTCACCCACCAGTGCCAAGACAGTGTCTGGCAGAGATGACAAAGATTGTCAAATAAATTAAAACTTTTCTACATTATAATTTCAGGAGAAATGATACATTAAGTTTGCCATGGCAATCAGACAACACAAAGAAATCAAAGGCATCCAGATTGGTAAGGAAGAAGTTAAACTGTCACTGTTTGCAGATGACATTATATTGTACATAAAATAAGTAAAGAATCCACTCCAAAACACTAGAACTACTAACTGAATTCAGCAAAGTTGCAGGATACAAAATTAATACAAAGAAATCCATGGCATTACTATACACTAACGATGAACTAGCACAAAGAGAAATCAGGAAAACAATTGAATTCACAGTTGCATTTAAAATAATAAAATACCTAATAATAAACCTAACCAAAGAAGTAGAAGACCTATACCCTGAGAACTACAAGATATTCATGAGAGAAATTAAGGAAGACACCAATAAATGGGAATACATTCCATGAGCATGGATAGGAAGAATTAATACTGTCAAAATGGCCATCCTGCCCAAAGCAATCTACAGATTTGATGCAATCCCTATCAAAATAACAACAGCATTCTCCAATGAACTAGAACAAACACTGCTAAAATTCATATGGAACCACAAAAGACCCTGACTAGCCAAAGAGATCTGAGAAGGAATAAATCTTGGAGGATTACACTCCCCAACTTCAAGCTCTATTACAAAGCCACAGTAATCAAGACAATTTGGTACTGGCACAAGAATGGACCCATAGATCAATGAAATAGAATAGAGAGTCCAGATATAAACCCACACATATATGGCCAATTAGTATATGATAAAGGAGCCATGGATACACAATGCAGAAATGACAACCTCTTCAACAACTGGTGTTAGCAAAACTAGACAGCTGCATGTAAGAGAATGAAACTGGATTACTGTCTAACTCCATACACAAAAGTAAACTTGAAATGGATCAAAGACCTGAATGTAAGTCATGACACCATAAAATTCTTAGAAAAAAACATAGGCAAAAATATCATCAATATAAACATGAGCAACTTTTTTCTGAACACATTTCCTTGGGCAAGGGAAACAAAAGCAAAAATGAACAAATGGGACAACATCAAACTAAAAGGCTTCTGTATAGCAAAGGACACCATCAGCAGAACACAAAGGCATCCTACAGTATGGGATAATATATTCATAAATGACATATCCAATAAGGAGTTAACATCCAAAATACATAAAAGACTCACATGCCTCAACATTCAAAAATCAAATAACCCAATTAAAAAATGTGTGAAAGATCTGAACAGACAATTTTACAAAGAAGTAATTCAGGTGGCCAACAGGCACATGCAGGTGCTCCACATTGCTAATCATCAGGGAAATGCAAATTAAAACCACAATGAGATGTCAGGGCACACCAGTTAGGATGGCCAACCTCTAAAAGACAAGGATGTGGAGAAAGGCGTACATTCCTGCAGTGTTGGTGGGAATGTAAATTAGTTCAACCATTGTGGAAAGCAATATGGAGGTTCCTCAAAAAACTTAAAATAGAAATACCATTTGACTCAGGAATTCCACTCCTAGGAGTTTACCCTAAGAAAATAAAAATCACAGATTCAAGAAAACATATTCACCCTTATGTTTATTGTGGCACTATTTACAATAGCCAGTTCATGGAAGCAACCTAAGTGTCCATCAATAGATGAATGAATAAAGAAGATGTGGTACATGTACACAGTGGAATTCTATTTAGCCGTAAGAAGAAAACAGATCCTACGATTTGCAGCAACATGGATGCAGCTAGAGGGTATTATGGTTAGTGACATAAGCCAGGCAGAGAAAGACAAGTACCAAGTGATTTCACTCATTTATGGAATATAACCACAAAGCAAAAACTGAAGGAACAAAACAGTAGCAGACTCACAGACTCCAAGAAGGGACTAACAGTTACCAAAGGGAAAGGGTTTGGGGATGGTGGGAGGGAAGGGAGGGAAAAGGGGATTAAGGAGTATTATAATTACATACATAATTAGGGGGGCACAGGGAAGGCAGTATAGCACAGAGAAGACAAGCAGTGACTGTGGCATCTTACTACATTGATGGACAGTGACTGCAATGGGGTGTGGGTTGGACTTAATAATATGGGTGAATGTAGTAACCACAATGTTGCTCATGTGAAATCTTCATAAGGTTGTTCATCAATGATACCTTAGTAATAATAATAATAAAAGATACACTGCCTGCTTCAAGTCCCTCCCTGTGACATGGTCTCTCTCAATTCCTAGACTTTGCATATGCTTCTCCTTCCAGCCAGAACACACTTACTCCTTGCAGCCTATCCAACTCCTAGCTCCTGTTACCCTCCTGACCACACCCCCAAGTAAGTATGACACCTCTTCTGATTGCTGCTTGTACTTACCCCTCTTGAAATATCACAATAGCTTACAGGCTATAGGCAGCTTCAGGGTGGAGACTTGTCCACCGTTTCCCCTTTCACCCACCAGTGCCAAGACAGTGTCTGGCAGAGATGACAAAGATTGTCAAATAAATTAAAACTTTTCTACATTATAATTTCAGGAGAAATGATACATTAAGTTTGTCAAGCCTCACTGTGAATGGATTTATTAAATCCTTTCCTGAGGGATTTCATAGTGAGCGGGAGAAGAGAGGGTAGGAAGCCCCAGAATGCCTACTCCAGAGGATAGGACACAACGCTGGGATGACAGTGGAGGCGTGGAAGGATGATGTCATTTGCCTTAGTATCTCTTTAGAATCAGCCTATCACTGTGAAAATTTAAGCAAGATTTAGTGAAACCTAAATTCTAGGCAAAAGTGTGACGGAAGTCCTTGTACATATACCAATTAAAATGGAGGAAGAGGTGGACCTAATGCAGAAGCCATTCAGAAATGTGGCACTCTGAGTTCCTGAACAACTACTTAATGAAACAGACGTGGCTGCTGGGTTTTCCAGTCAGTGGGATAGTACTAATACCAGAAACTACGGAGTGTGCCCAGACTTAAATCATGAAATGCTAATATTAGTGCCTAAAATTGTAACACTACCTATAAACATGAGTAGAGATGGCTTACCTGGTGTCATTAATTCTGGTTCTGTGGGAATCAGAGGTATGCCTACAGAGAAAGAAAGAAAGATACCCTTTCTTAATCGGTTCTTCTAAGTGAGGCCCACAGAGCCCATATAGTAATCTTTAGCTTCAAGGAAAACGTTTTGGGAGAGAGATCACAGGAAGCATGTTAGAGGGAAGATTTACATAATTTAGAAAGTAATTAGAAACAAAACCTATGGGAGGGATATTGAAGAAGGCTCTTCAGAAAGTTTACTTTCTGTCTAAAACTTCTGTTTTCAACCACTTGCCATTATAGAGAAAAAATATTCAAGTGCTTCATTTTTAGAATAAATTAAGCAAAGTTCACACTTACAGTCTCCTGGATAAACACATTTGAGGGTGACCTCATCAAGAATCATATTTTTAGGACAGTAGGGCAAGCATCCTTCAACCCTTTACATAAAAAAAAAAATCAGAGTGAAATTTAAAATATAAAACAATACTGCACTTAATATATGCACCTAAGATGTATTTTGCTTAAAATCCTTCTACTCTCCTTGTCAAGAACTGAGACGTCTTCTATTTGCTGCCATCCCACCAAATCTCATTTGATGAAATCACAAACTAGTGGGTAATATAGGGATGTAATTCATGATTAAGGCAGCATTTGAACACAGAACATTCCAAGCATGCATTTATGCTTGGGACACACAAAAGCCATGATCTATAAAACAGTGAATATGGAAGATAATTTAATATGATTTTAATCTATATTCGTTGTACTACTTTCCACTTCTATTCTCTCTCATATTCAAGCAGATAGGCACGCTCTTTCAGCATCCTTGCTTTAAGGAGATTGGCAGAACAAAACAGAATCTTCAGTGCCTCTCCCACCTATTATGAAGCTCAAAACTCTAAACTCATATCAGATACTCAAATTTCTCAGATATTAGGAGTCTCTGAGCAGAAGGGATGGGGGTGGGACAGGACTGCCATTCTCTGACAACAGGCTGCCTCTCAGAGCATCTCTGGCCCATGCCCAGATTTGGGGTGCTGCCCTGGGCGGAACAGTTGCATATGAGCCTAAAGAGGATGAATTTCAAGCTCCAGGACATCTGGTCCTTGTAAGGATCCCAAGCTCTTATGCATGTGGCACAGAAGCCAGGAAAAGTCCCACATTTAAAGAAACGATGGCTTGACATCACGAGCCAGAGACAGGAAGGACCATCTGGAATGTTTTCATGTAAGGGAATGAAGCTGAGATAATGAGTGAGATTAAATTTCCCTTCTTGCCCATCTGAGCTCAGAGTCCCATTTATTCTGATTCAAAGGAAATAAATGTAACCCTTCATGTAACAACTGATTGTAAGATCCATACATACTAGAGAGAATTGATGCAAATATTCTTTTTTAAAAAGTCTTGTTTACCTGTCTTGTAAGCACACTAGCAGGTTGCAATAATATTTTTAATATTTTAAATAATTTCCAGTTGCCTCATTGGTAAAGTAAATAATTTGAGCCAAAATTACTCAAGGCTTCTTTTTAACTCAGGATGAAAACTGATTTGACACCAGTAGTTAGCATGCCCACCAGAGGGCACTTGTTCGTGGGAGGAGGTGGAGGCGACACATTTTAAAAACCAAGAATTTCTTTTAACTTAAGGTACATTTAACCATCCCTTGAATACCTCCCTCACAAATGATTTCTTTTTTACATAAACAGTTTAGCTTATACGATTGATTATATATTTCATAAAATGAACTGGAATAACAAACTTAAACCAGTATATAATATTTCTATTCTACTCTAAATTGTGTCATGCAAAAAAGAAAAATTAAAGTTATAGATAGTTGAAGAGTCTAGGGCCTGCTGGTTATTGTTAAATTAAATAAACATCACTTCTGTACACAACTCAATTTTTTGCATTCTTTAATGCAAATCAGAACCACAGTCATGCTCTTAAAATATTTTCTGAACATCAGTAATTTATTCCTTTAAAATATCTTCATGGTTACACACTGCAGGTTCCTCTTTATTATGTCGGCCAATTGACAGTCTACTCAACTTCTGACTGATAAATATAATTTCTCAGGTGTAGAACAGTTCTTGTAAGAGATATATTACATAACAGAAATACCAAAATAGGCATACAGGCTTTATGTATGCAGGTTGCTATCTTTTCTTGTAAAAGTTCCCCTTTCTGACTAGATATTTCTATTTTAAAAACTGCTGTATTCCAGAAACTGCAGTTATTTAGAACAAGGGTGGTGGTTGTGTTGGGGACTTGGAGGAGGTGTGCAGGGCTATGTCCATGCTTAGTACATGAGTCTCCCCTCCAGGCTGCACATACAAGGAGGGGCAGGAATTAGGGGCCTCAGTGAAGGGCAGGGGAGGAGCAGAAAGGAGATAAGAGGTGACGATGGAGGTGAGAAACAGCGTGGCAGGGAGAAGTTTCACCCTGAATCACCCTGTCCAAACCGTTCCAAACACGAAACTTCAGAATAGCTACAGACCAAACAATAGAAGCATTGTGGATCTGGGTTCAACCACACAGGAGACTGGCTATGTCACAAGAAGTAATAAAACAACTAAATCTAGCTCCATTTCCTCCCAGGGCCAGGACCAGGGCCAGCCCAGCCCTCTGTGCTCTCCGTTCCTTCCTCACGCTGGGACCCCGCCTGCTTCCCTTCCCCTTGACAGCTTCCTGCCCAGGAGAGGCAGGGACAGAGGTCTGTGAACATGAGGAGGCCAAGTGTGCTGAAGGTATCTCCTTCTCAGGAGCATTGGTTGTTTTCATTTTTTTAAATCAAATTTATCATCTTTCAATAAGTGAGTATAATGGTTTTGACAAACATTATTTAGGTTGTTTTTATTTTTAAGAAAATAAATAGAAATACATCTTCTCTCTGCTCCCATTGTACTTCAGAGTATAGAGGGTCCAACCCTGGCTCTGCAGGCCTAAAAACTGTGTGACGCAGGGCATGTCGCGTAACCTCTTTGCCTCAGCCAGCTCTCTCCCCTGAAAATGGAAATAATGAGATGACCCATTTTACAGCACTCAGTGTAGTGTGTGTCACGCTGTGAAGATTTAAATGTGCTAGTTGTTGTCGTTATCCCTCCAGCCCTCTGTCCACGGTATTGTCAAGATCTGCTTTTGTTTCTTTCTCCCTCCTAAAGACTGTGAGCCCCCTGACAGAGGCGCTGTGTGTCATTCACTCATATGTCCAGGACTTTTTGTAGTATCGTGTTTGTCATAGAGGAAAAGATAGAAAAACCCTAATAAAACGACCCTATTCAAAATAGCCCCTCATACTATTGTTCCATTTCTCTGTTCTCTTTTACAGCAAAACAGAACAAAAACTTATTTATACCCTCAGTCTCCCTGTTGCCTCCCCCTGTTTCCAAGTTCCCCAAAACCAATGAGCAGGTTTTAGTCTCAAACTTAAAAATCCTCAAAACCAAATCCCTGACTTTTCATGAAAGCTGCTCCCACCTAACCTGCTGCTTACCTCAGTAACTGCCAATTCAGTCCTCCCATTAAGCTGAATCATTTGAATTTTCTGGGAGCTGACCAGTTTTGACTTTTCAAAAAATGGTGATTCACATTTCCACTTACAGACTGTGTAGGCCTAACCTGGAGTCTTGAACTCCTCTTTCAGAAATGAGAGTAAATCCGTCAGTATACCTTACAGCCCGAAGTTCAAAACATATCCGGAATCTGTTCACATCGCGTAATTCCCAGGGCTACCAACCTGTCGAGGGTCATGTCTTGTCCCCATCACTGACCACTTCTGCCTCTGTCCTTCCCCTCCCAACAGTCAATACAGACAGCCGAAGTAAACTTTTTAAATCGTAAATCAGATCACGTCACTCTGTTCTGCCCCAAATACACCAGGACATTACACAAAGAAGATCAAGTTCTCACAATGGCTACACGGTCTGATATGACTCGCCCCCAAGTGGTTCTCTAGTCTCACCTCCCACCCCTCTCAGTTTTGCCCACTTTGCTCTGACTGACTCCCTTGATCATCCTCAGACACCCCAAACACATGCCCACTCCAGGAACGCGCACCGTTCTCAGACTGAAAGGCTCTTTCCCCAGATGTCCCGTGCGCAGTTCCCTCCCTTCCTTCCGACCTCTGACGGCATGCTGCCTCGTCAGTGTGGTGTTCCCTGTCCACCCTGCATTAATTAGCAAACACACACACATCTTATGGTCTTTCTTCCCCTTCTCTTTCTTTCCTTTCCTCCATCACACATATCTCTAACAATAATACTGTGTTATATATGTTTTTATTTGTTTATTCTCTGCCTCAACCCAACAAACTGTCAGCTACATGAAGGTGAGTACTTTGTTTCCCGCAGCACTGTATCCCTGCGGCTAGAAGCATACCTGGCACATAGCAGCCCCTCAGTGACTATTGCTTGAGTAAAATGAGATAAATTCGTGGGATGAGTATATAGCACAAACAAGTTATTCTTGAGGGCTTTTTTAAACCTAACAAAATTCACTGAGAGAAGAATCTGCTGATGCTGGAATTCACTCATTCAATGGTTAGACATGACTTACGGTGGAAGAAATGTACACGCCTGTGCGTCAGGATCACTGCATGTTTTAAAACAGGGAATGGCACAGGGCTCGTATCTCCATTCACACATCCTCCTGTAAGGCACAGCTGCCTGGATTTCTGGGGGAAAAAGATAAGTTTAGATTGTGCATGCTTTTAATGTGCAGCTTGAAAAATACTGACCCTTCTTTGCCCATAATGCCTTGGAAAAGACCGGGCTAGGGAAGAAAGCATCGTAATTGCTTGATGATAGAGCATTTCCTGCTCAGGTTGAATATATAAATGTCTGTCTTCCAAAGATTTTAAAAAGCAGTCAGAGGAGGCCAAGGAAAATTCTAAGTCTCCTTCCTTTCTTTACTTTTAATGGGTTCTCACTGGTCTGCATAATACTACCAAACGACTTGCTTAGAATTTTGTTTTTTGCCATCATTTTAGGTCCATTATTCTATTTTCATCCTTGCAACAACCATGTTGAGTAGGTATTATTTTCATTTCATAAATGAAGGGATTGAGGCTCAGAGTACCCAAGCGGCTTGCCAAATTGAGACAATGAGGACTATGGTCAGACTGAAGCCATGCTCCCTGACATCAGACCCAGAGAGAGCACCCTGTCTTTGTTCTCACAAAACCTGGCACATTGTCTTGTACATGGTAAGTATTCTCTGATGACAAAAAAATAAAGGAATGGATTTGAATAGTACATGCTTATAGTCATAAAACCTCCCTTGACCCAAGTTTTCTCCCTCAAACTCTGTGAATATTCTGCCCTTCTTACGTCACAGAGGAGTCTGTCCGCAGCTTTCTCTGAGGATGAGAGCACCATACAGAGAGTTCAGGAAAAGGTCGTGTTTCTTGGACTCTGGATATAGAATGCAATCCAAGGTATGGGAAGGGAAATTTGACTTTTTGGAAGGTATCTATTCACCTAAAGGCTACAGAGACTGTGAGACCTGAGCTACTGGGATGGTGGGTCCTGAGAGAGGATTGGTTCCAAGACTAGAGCAGACCTCTATATAGAGTTTCCTAGTTTCGGAATCAAAAAAAAAATCAGTCTCTGAAATTTTGAAGATGCCGTTGACTGCAGTTGTCTCAAGCTCAGGTGGGGCCAATGGGTCTGGTTCTATTGGAGCAGATTTCTAGATTGGAGGGGGAATATTTACAAAGCTCAACTTTTAAGTAAATTCAAGTAAAAATGTAATATTCATTTTATAGAATATTGTATATGCATGTCAGTGACTCATTCTCATGAGAATAGGAAGCCCTTTCAATAGACAAAACTGTGAAGCCTAATTTGAATTTTCTAAAATCCAGAGATGATCAAGGTTTGCAGAAATTTATCCACGGCAGCCAAAGAAAAATGGTTAGTTCTCTTAAACTAATTTAGAAGAGTTGGTTAGAGTAAAACAGCTTGTTGGGAGACCCAAGGTATATATGTAGCTCCTCGGTTTTGAACGTAAAGCACAACTATTAAACATCAAGTGAGGTAGAGAAGAGTTGGTTAGAGTAAAACAGCTTGTTGGGAGACCCAAGGTGTATATGTAGCTCCTCAGTTTTGAACGTAAAGCACAACTATTGAACATCAAGTGAGGCAGTGAGGATTCCTCCTTGGACTTTAGAAAATTGAGCAGTTATAAAACTATAAAAATCTCTAGAAATAAGCTCAGGCTTCTGCTGAAACAAGGAAAGCCTTCAGAGGTCAGTGGAACCAGACACCCTAGTATTCAAAGGACAGAGATAAACATGTTGTCTTCATCATTAAGAATCAAATTATTGAGAAGTCACCTTCTAGAAAAGAAATAGTAGAAACAAACACCTGACAAACATGAAATACGAGTGAGCTCTATTTCCCAGCTACAGGCAGCATTGAAAGTAATTATTGGGGCAATAACTAAAAGTAACATTTTTTAAGACTGTTCTAAGCAACTTATCAATTAATTTAGGTATTACTATACCTGCCATTTTACAGAAGCATAAACTAAAGAACAAAGAAGTTAAGAAAAACACAATTCTATCTACTTACACTCCATTAGAAATTATTTTAAAATGAAAACTCAATTACTATTCTGCCATTTTCTAAATTATCTATTCTTCTTTTGAAGACCTCAGGAAACATACCTTCTATGCTGAAACTACTTGAATGCTTAAATTCTTCAGAATCATCGTATTTTGATGCTTTGACACTGGAGTCTGTGAATATGATGAAAAAGCCTTTCTTGCTGTATAATTCAAATGCACTGTACCCAGGAATCCAGAGACCTTGATGGTGGAAAAATGTGGCTCCCCGTTGAAAGGCTGGATTCGCCTTCCACAGTTCCAAACTAAGAGAGTCATCATCGTGGACACAGAGAAAATAGTTTGGCCTTTCAGCAGATTCCAGGGAAACAAGTACCAATGCTGCAAAACGTAAGCAGTGTGTTTGACACATTCCTGGGCTCTCTGACCATGATATGGAAGCACGTCAACACTGGCATTACAAAATGTATAAAGCTGACAGAAATAGCACTGCACAATTGCCAGGCATAATTTGTGCCTATCTCAAAGATTTCACAAATTAATTGTAAGATCTCGAAAAGAAAAGGTAGTATCTTAATGTAATGACTAACAGGGACAGCTCAAAAAAAAAAAGAAAAATCAGTCTTTGGTGACTTCTATGTTTCAATATTTTATCATATCCTTGGGGGAAAAAATAATAATCAGTTTAGGACCCCAGAAGGTACAAGTAATTAAATGATTAATTGGACACATATTTGTACTTGCAAGCTTTAACATTTCAAATAAAGAAAACCTACAAATGGCTAAATCGGATGATAGAAAAGAATAAAAATACAGAAACAGATCAGTTTAGGCATGTCACTGCATTTCAATAGTTTTAAATGAGCAAATGTTCTTGCAAGTGATCTTACTGCATTAAGGAAGACTATTTGCTCAACATTCTTGTCTATTTCCCAAGAGATAATCAAATGGCTAATGAACAACTACAAAGCATTTGGGGAGTGTCATTGCTTTAAAAGTTTTCCTTATATTTGTAAAACCCATAATATAAAAGTTTTCAGTTGAAGTTTTAGATTTATTACACCTTAATTCTTCTAGGTCTTAATTTAATTTAAATCCATTAGTATTTTTCTATTAAAAACATTAATTATTATAAACCATACAAAGAAGATCTCTTTCAAATCTAATACATGACTCCAAAGGTATTTATTATGTCCTAAAATTTGCAAGTCCCGCTGCTGAGCACTGGAAGATGCCAAGAAGAATAAGAGAGATCTTCAAAGGGAAAAAAATACAGAACTAACATAGAAATTAGAAGTTCAGGCTGTGATAGGTGTCTTCATAGATTTAAAAGTACTAAGGAAGTTCTTTTTACAAGAAAGAAGCAGTTTATTCTAATGGAGAATCAGGAGATTTCTCAGAGTAAATGAAAGTCAAATTCATTCATACAGTAATATTTTCTAAGCTTATACAACACAACATGCATGGTTCTAAGTAGAGTTACTAGAGTAACAATTTGGCCCAAGCATCACCATATCAGAGGGGAACACTAGCCACCAGTCAGAACAGGTGCCAAGTGGATATGACCAGTATAAATCTACAGGTGCCAGTAAATATGGGGACAGACATGGCCACCTATAGATAACAGACTGTCCCATGACTGTCTAGACTCTGATTTACTTTATTAATATCTATCTTTTTTTATATCAAATCTGAATTTTTTTTCTTTTATTTCAATCTGGCATTAAAGCTTCTCAAATGTTTGTTATCAGTGAACTATTTTTTAAAAATTTCAGACTTGCTGCATGGATAAATTTAAAAAAAACGTACATGTAAAATACAATTCTTTTTTTCTCACCTACCCTTCCCCCTAAAATAAAATTCTTATTTTCAGTTGGAAATTATACTTACATGATGCCTTCTCTTTGAAAAGACCTGGAGTGATCATAAAATTAAAAAATAAATTGCCATGAATACTATGTCTTGGCAAAGAGAAAACACTTCTACTGGTCATATTGGCCCCCAGAACAAGGCCACTCTGCCCATAATTTGCCAGCATATACGGTCCTTCTCCAAGCCCTAGTTAAATGCAAATAAGAGAATTACCAGTTGGTATAGGATTTTTACATTTCAAGCTGCCATTTCAATGGAAAATTTTTAATGACCAAAAAAAACTCCAAAAATTATTGAGCATTTAAATATTATTAATAAAATAACTGAACTTTTTTCAAACCTAATATGATTTGGAATATATACACACATATTTAGATTATGCAATTTAGAATATATACACACCACACACACGCACATATATATATATATACACACATACATATATGATATTATAGGCACACATGTAAAGCTGTACTTGATAAAAGTCTGACTTAAGCTTTCTGGGCCTCAAGTTTTCTCACCTATATGAAGAATTTTGTCGAGGTAACCTTCCACTCTAATATTCCAAGACTCTAATCTACTCTCTATAAATGTAAGTTCAGCTTTATCAATGGCCAGGTATTTTTGACAGTCTTGTAAAAATGTTGCACTGCATGAAAACAGAATTCACAGACATGACATACAATATTTTACTGTCCTGTGAATTCTTGAATTTCAACAGTGAGGAATGTCTATAAAAAAGAAAAATTACATGAAGCTTAACAGAGAAGTTGAAGATGTTTTTACTTATGCTATCATTTCCCATGCATTTAAGTGGTTCATATAAAGGGGAAAATATTTACTACAGTAAAAACCATTACCATAGAACTAAATCTGAAATCCAGTCAGAATAATTTTTCTGCAAACTTCATCTTTTTTAAAGACACACATAAATTATAAATAAGTTCACTGACACTCAAAAAAGTTGACTTAGATTTTATGATATTAAATTCAGTTTACCTTCAACCCAATCTTTGCCATTTGATATTCTTAATATATCTGAGAGATTATAAAACTTTAAAGTTTCTTCTGAATCATCAAAATTAAACTACATAATTGTCACCTGTATACTTTTTACAGTTGTATGTATATTTTTGTGTTATAGGTTATGCATAATGCTAATATACATGCCATAGGTGTCAACCTAAAAGACTAATCTGGTCTTTTTTTACCTCCAACTTTTACCACAATGTTCCTTTGCAAGCTTCCTCTTAACATAGAAGGAAAGTTCAAAGAAATCTGAGGACTAGGTTATTGCTTTTTCAAGACTGAAGATCAGGCATAAGGGAGGAGAGAAGACCAGTGGATTTGAGGCTCAGCAGTCTTTCAGGTAGAAAGGAAAACAAGATCCAAAATCTCCATCCTGAGAACGGGGAGAAGAGGTAGGGACTCATCCGGAAGTCATCTCCAAGTGTCCCCTCCTCCCGTAACGCATTTGGGCCGCTGAGCCGCGGGAGACTTATAAGCCATGAGGAAAAGAGCTGTTTCAGGGATTTGGACACCTTGAGCAGAGAGAAAGCTTGAAGGAACTTTGCCCCCACGCCAGGCTGGCACTGAGCAGATACATTGGAGATTCTCTGAGCTGGCAGTGGCGGACGCCCTCTGCTATTAGGAACGCACGTCGTGTGCCATGCTTCTCTGGGAGCCAAAGAAACTGCATCACTCGTCTCCACACCTGCTGGCTCACTTTCTAGGGAGAAGAGCAACACAAACTTCCAAGATGCAAATATACCTCAACTTTTAAATACATCAATTTGTATAAATATGTAAATAATGTACAACTAAGTAGATATGTAAATTATAATGAGATACTATTCAAAATGAAGAAGACATATACAACTACAACCTGAGGATTTCAATCACCCTTGTATTCAACAAAAGAAAAGGAGAAAGGAAATAGACGACTAAACAAAATCTCTGCCCTACAGTGTGAGTCCTTTAACTACAGCAACCTTAAGAGACGAATGACTGCCATATGAGAATTCCATTCATATAAAATCAAAAGCTTCTGAATCGTTACCCAGTTGATTGATACTTTTGATCTACATTGTTTTCATGCATTTTCGCCAGCAATTAAGAAACAAAATTGTTGACTTAATCATTAATTTTCTTCAAGAAAGAATATAATTTCACAGTCTGCCAAAAGTAATCATTACAATGATAATTTAAACACAATATTAGGCATGTGCTATCTGATACAATCACTCTGACCTTAAAATTTGCATACTAACTTTTAGCAGGCTATTGAAATCCTTGCTCACCTAACAACAACAACAATAAAATCTTTATATTTTTAATAAATGCCATAAAATAAACATGAAGATATTATATACAGTCTCTTGTTAAAGATTATTGAAATAATCTCAGCTGTAACCTCTGAATTCTCCAGCTTTCAAAATAATTTTCCTCTCACAGAATCACTAGGATTTATTTTTGCATTAGCTTTAAATATTGATAAATAACTTGATAACATAGTGTCCAGTATGTAGTAAGTAAAGGGAGAAAGATATCAGCCATGAATATCCAGTGGAGACTAGGGAAACTGACAATAACTGTGAAAGTATTTGGAGTGAAGCAAATTAAGAACCATCATTTAAAATGATTTTCTTTTCATGACTACTATCGGCAATCTCCACAATTTTATATCTCCCTTCAAACGCCTGTCTTCCCTGCATTCTTTGCACAAATTTACTCTCCTTGGATGTCTGATGCTTTTCTCTGCTACTCTGATCATAGAAAACAGATTTCCCTGTTACTCCACTGACTCTATCAGTGTCTCACAAAGGCCAAATGCCATGTTCACCCTCTGAGTATTACCAACACAGTATCACAAATGAAACCAGACTGGTTTGAAGAACCCTGTAACATCAGAAAAGAGAGCCATCACAAGTTCAGCAGACTTGTTGACAGAAAGCAAAATATACCAAGTAGTGAAAGGTGGAAATTCCACATTCATAAAAAATTCTGCTCCTAGATCCAAAAACTGCAGAAGGGACACCAGAAAGCACAAAGGCACAGATGGAGATCTTAACAGCAGAGCTGTGTTAGGCAGGAATTCTTAAGTGAGGAAGTTATTGGGGCATTTCCTCAAGTTGATACCTGTGTATATTGTGTAGAGCATGTGACAACCATGTGTGGTGACCCTTCCTAGACGAGACTGTGTTAATCACACGCTCGGCAGTGCAGCATGAAGATAAGCTCCTTGGTCCGGAGCTCAGACTGTTTACAAACCGCAGTTGACCACATTCTTGGTGAGCGGATCTGGCAAGTTATTAACTACTGTGTCGTCCCTCAAGTTCCTCCTCTGTAAAGTGTTCATGATAATATCTGCCTTACAGGCATATCTTGAAGCTTAAATTACATAATACAGGTAAATTCGTTAACCCAATCAAAGCTATTGTTACTATTCTTTTTTTTTTTTTTAAGCAGAGTGAAAAGTTTTATTTGATTGCATTCCAAGAGAGAAGCAGGCCAGAGTCAAAGTGGACAAAGGCCTATTGTTACTATTCTTGTTGTTAATATTAATCAATGAGTCTCATTTTAAGTATGGCAACCAAATAATTGATGTGGAGCATGTGGAAATATTTTGAGTTTGAGATTTTAACTACCAGAGTTTTAATGTTGCATTCTTTTCTTCCAACAAACTTTTGTAAATGTAACAAAAAGAACCAAAAATTAAAACATCTATTTTCTTTTTAATTTATTATCTCTATTTCTCTATCATTGTCTGGCCTTCTTCGAGTGTTTATCATGGACAGATGTCTCCCTGGTTCAGTAAGGCACCAAAAATGCCTTCAGTTAGTTGCTTGGGGTTTTCTCATGGCCCAGTTGTCCTCTAACTGTTATTCTCCACTGACTCACCATGGGTGCAGAGTTCGTCCAGTCACGGACAGAACGGACACCTCCCCGGATCACCTTCCTTGCCTGGATTAGAGTGAAGGGCTATGCCTTCCTCATTAAGCAGGTTTGACAAAGAACAGGCTCCCGTTCTGCTCTCATCTGGCATTTTCACCAAGGATACAATCCTCTGCCTCACATCTGTGCCTGAGTTTGAGGCAGCGACTCCTCTTACACTTGTCATTGCAAATTTGGATACTTGATGGGGCTAGGAGATTTTAATTATTATTACTAAATCAATTAAGTTTGTATTCTGATAATATATAAATTATTATTTTTGCCTGTAGTGATGACTAAATAAATTCCTGATATTATTATCATCACAATTATAGTTTGTTTCTTTGATTTCCATGACACAAAGTTTGAATAATGTCCACCTTTGTATATAATGGTAAAAGTTGCATTTGTAGATGTCTTTCATCCTCTTTACCTAAAAAAATTAGCTAACTTCAATCATTCATTCCTTCCTCCATTCATTCAAAAACTATTTATTGAAGCCATCCTGAAAGTGGAAAGCTTACTTACACACTCTTATTTTCCAGAGAATAAATTTTAACATAAATACTCAGAAATTTAGATGAAGTTTAGAAAGTAAAGACTTTCACTGAATTACATATCAAATCATGAACTACTGTTCCCAGCACAAGTTGTTCAAAAACGTTTTTAATCTGAAAATACATCCAATAGAACACAATAGTGATTATTTAAATGTCACATACCTTCATTATAATATTCACAATCAAGTGCTGGAAGAGAAAAAGAAATATTAAACTATTAAGAATCTGACTACATATCTGACTCTTTAAGAGTGATGTGTTATAATTTATTAAATTTCATAGCATTATTTTATAGATAGGCAAATATATCTGCCAATTTAGAAATGTCAACTGAAAGTGTTAACATCATAAGCTGTTCTTCATTTGATTTGCAAATGTAAATGAAAAGTTTTAAGAGCCAAATGTGAAAGCAAATTCAAAATGATGTTTTTAAAAGTCTGTTTTTTATAATCAGAACAGTGAAACTTCACAGCTACAAGAGGTGTGAGTCATAAACAATGTCCCTAAGGATGGTATATGAATAATTTAAAATAGTTCTAATGTGGCAGTGACAATGGTCAAACACACCCAGAAAAAGTTATCTCAAAGTTTTCTTTTTATAAATCCTTTAGGTCTACTACGATTGACCTGCATTGTCAAAGGAATATAAATGTAGTCATCTTAAAGAAATTCTATTTCTATGAGCTCCATGGTATTAGTTCTTGATAAGAGAAGCACTATAGATTTCCTTACAAGTGTCCCACATAACGATGTTGTTCTAAATATTAGGTACTCACAACAAACAGTGGATGGCCTCCAGTGAACTGACACCCCCTCCTGACAGCACTTGTAGGCGTATGCCGCTACGCTGGTACAAAAACACTCACAGTCCCCACCAAGATTACAGTGACATGTGTCTTCATGGCAGTTCTTCGCAAAAGAAGTAACATCAATCTGAAAATGAAGTGAAAGGAAGATGAATTAATTTCATGAATAACTAACCATGATTGATTCAAACACAACCTTCTAAAAGAAAACTAACTGAAGAATTTTCAAATTTGATATTATCAGCTTAGCACTGCTGCCTAAGGAGTTCTCGGTATCTCAGACTACTACTTTGCCCAAAGGAGAAAGGAATTCATTAGGTAAATGTCCGATCAAAGAACCAGCAAAACAGGGAAAGGGATTAACAAGCAAACACATATAATCTCAATATCTGTAATGGAATAGGTTAATATTTTATAGAAATTTATTGTCTCATTATTAATATATTCACATGGCACTAAAAGACGCTTCTGTTATCTACTATACTTTTACTTGATTTTTGTGACAATTAAATGATATTTTAAACTTCCATTGGGACCTACAATTATTAGGTTGGAAAGGCATTTGGAAATTCAAATTTCTAAATAAATTACATTCCATTTTTTTTTACCCTCCCCCAAACCATCTTAAATGCATCACTAGTAATACTCGTAAACTAAACTTTGGGTCCAGGAGAAGAATGCCCATTTAGCAATGTCCTCTGGAAAAAAATTATATATGTATTTATGGCTTTGATCAATCATTTATGGCTTTGATGATGTGTGGAAAAAATGCATCATAGATTAGAACAGATTACTACAAATACATACAAATCTACTGTTAAATAAGATGGCGGGAAAAAGTAAACCAGCTAAATTCATCACTTCCACAGGAAAACAAACAAACATGGCTTCCTGACAATGGTTAGGTAGCACACCTGAAAAGCCAGTGGGTAGCTGACCTGCTTGTCCCTTTCATTTCAATATTACAGGTACAGTAGGACACATTTGAATTTGAGAATTCAGTAAAGTATTCATTTACCACATTACGACAAGGAGCAAAAACATCACTGTAAAAGATGGAGCATTCTTTCTTGGCATAAGGAAATTTGCTTTGATGTGCCTCACACGGTTTAAATGATTCAGTTGGGTTTTCACACTGTTGAAAAAATTTAAGGGAGAAAATAAAGTTTTTCAAGGGGTGATTTCTGAAGGTGAAACCAGAGCAAACAGTTCTGACTCCACCCATCACAGCAGCATTGACTATAGTCTCGGTCTTTCAGACGGACTTGACCTTGAGCCCCAATGCTCAGCCGCCTCAATGTTAACAGCATATATTATTTTGGAAAACCAATAAACATACTTCCAAAATTATTGTGATATTAGAGAGACAGTAAAAGTGAATAATTTTTAAATTGTCTTAAATGCAGCATTTACATGACTAAAAAAATTACATGAGCAAATGATTTTGTTTCACATTTTCACCTCTTTGATTTCTATCACAAGCCATTCTCTGAGCATCTGTATTTATACAGAAGTTTCTACAGGCTTCCCTCCCGTGTACTGAGCAATTTGGTCTCTTCCTCTCTGAAACTGCTATAGGAAAGGTCATCAAGTTTTTCATTATAGTTGCCCAAATGTGACAGCAACTTTTCAGTCATCTCATTTGCCCTCTCACCCCCTCTGATTCTGTAGCTTGTCACCCTTCTTGAACATCTCTCCTCATTCACTTTTGGTGACAACATTTTCTGCTGTTTTCTTCTGACTTGCTGGCTGCTATTTCCCACTCTCGTTCCCCACCCCTTCTTTGCAAAGCTTGATCCTCAAACCTGTTTTCCTCATTCTATACTCTTCTCATGGCTTCAACAAGCTGAATATACTAGTAACCTCCAAATCCAAATTTCCAGACCAGATCTCTTTCCTGAACATCGAGAATGGACATTTCCACCTACCTGCCTGTCACTTCTTTCTCAACATATCTTAACCTGTACTTATCTTTACACCATTGGCTTGTCCTCATTGTCCCCACCGTCCACTCTCCTCTTTGTTCTGTCTCAGGGAAGAGGACCAGCACGTGCCCAATAAGCAAGGAAGGTGGAGACTTTCTTGAATTCTCCAGATGCATCCTTCCTACTACAGTCATCCAACAGATGCTGATGATTTAATTCTTAATGTCTCTCAATTTGTATAGCTTTCTAAATCCCCACTGAGTTAACATTTCCAGCTGGATTTTAAGAGCCTTTTACTAGTTGAAGGCCTTTAGCCCAGGTCCTCATATCTTACAGTTCAGTGCCGTGCATTCCAGCCATTCCCTACTTCAAACCCTCCACCACTACCATACTGAACTTTTTGAAATTCCCATTAAGCGATCTACCCACTCCACTCTTCTTGAAACCTTCTACAGGCCTGCTCCCCTCTTTGCTGCTATGCTCTTTCCCATCATTTTGCCTTTCAAGCTCCTGGAAGCCTGGCAGGATTCAGCTTGAACTTCCCTTTGACATGAGCCCCACATTATATGTACCTCGATCACAGCACCTACCTCATATTTTCATTGTTAATTCTTCCACCTTTTCTACTAACCTGCACTCTACAGTCCTAAGAGAAGAGGCTGTGTTTTAGTTATGTTATTGTTCACATAACCTGGGAAACATTAAGTGCTAAATAGAACTTACTGAATGAAAAAAAGTTTTTGATTCTCAGCTTTGTTCATTAGGTATGGATAAGATTATACATTATAGTGAATCTAAAATTCTTTGCTCCAAAAATTTAAGTATTATTATAAATTAGTTATTCCTGAATTAATTTTAAGTGGATATGTATAAAATAATTTAAGAACTTCTAAATGCAGTACTAAGATATATGATAGCCGTAATAAAAAGGATTTTGTATCACTCTGTAGAGTTGACATTTTATATGTTGAAAAAATAAAATCTTTATAATCTCCTTAGACCACACTGAAATATACTGCTTAAAGTTTAGTGGATTGGGCAAATGTTTTCCACTAGTTCCCTTTTAATTTTTAGAGAAGATTTTGATATGTTAGGTAAATTAGACAAAGTAGAAAAGCAATTAAACAAATACTGAACAATCAGGAAATTGTTGTGGATGCTCCTTTCAATGAGAAAGAAAAATAAACTAAAAGAAAAAGTAGAATAAGAGAGTAGAATCAATTTCTAATTTGACTCATTTTTTGAGTCCATTCAACCTTTCTCAGTGTGTCCCACAAAACACTATTTCTTGAGAACTCATCCATAAAAACATAGGCTCTGCATCCGTAAGTTTGAGAAACCCTTCAAACACATCTGTCCCTTGAAAGTTTAAGAAATCCTTCAAAAAATAAATGTGTCTCATCTAGTTTGTTTGAACTGCTTGCAAAGGTGGTTGACCAGAAATCCGCTTCCTGTTCCTTGCCACCCACACAAAGCTGTGCCTGGAGAACAAACGGTAAGAAATTCTGCCCTCTTGTATTCATTGCTTTGAGTTGGCAAAAATTACATCACCAAAATATATGCACATTGATAAAGCATTTTGCTATCGAAGGAAAAGCATAAGATTAGAGCATGTGCATTTGAATGTCACCCATGCTGCTTTCTAGATAATATTACACAAGTCATTTAAACTTCCTGTGCTACAATGTCTTCATCTACAGTGTGGCAACAACACCCTGTACATCACAAGATTGTCACAGGAGTTCCATGAGATGGTGAATGTGAAAGCAGTTTACCAACTATGAATCACTATGCAATTACATAAAATAGCACTATCTAAATAAATTTTCCTGTAAGAATGTAATGTTTTAGTGAGTTAACTTACCAAAAAATATTTGTTTGGTTGTGAAATACAAGTATTCAACTTACCTGTCCTAACGCCCAGCTATCTCCAAATACCTGGGCATTTCTCACTTCTAAGTTATTGGATGTGGTCATATCATTTGAAGTACATTTGTCAAAGTTTCCACATAATCCTGATAATTTGTTCTAAAGCAAAAAAAAAAATGACTATAGCATATTCTATATTCACTTCAACATTTAAGGACTCAAATTTACCAAAACTGTTTTAAAGATTTGAAGGAGACATTTTAAGAATTTCCACAGTAACCATTTAAAATATACTCCAGGAAGATGGAATTTCATATCTATTTAATTATATTTAACACTAACTTTAAGTATCAAACAATGTCATGTATATATATGTGTGTGTGTGTGTGTGTGTTTGTGTATCAGTAATAACTGAATCTGACCATATTACAAATATCACATAACCATGCTGAAGAAGGTGTGAAATAAACAATCTAAATAACTTTGTAAAACTGGACGCTATAAAGCTGAAGTGCAAAAGAACTGTGCATGGCACTGTACTCTAGCTGGTTAAGTTTTCTTCACTAAGGTATGAGCTGATAATTCTGAAAATATAACCTGTTTCTTAAAGGAAAATATCAATCATTTTATTTCCACAACATATTGAAAGGTAAATGTAATTTCATTTCTTGTATCCCATTTGATTAACCTACCAAATAGACTGACTTACCTTCCACTGTGGTCCAACTTTGATATGAATGGTTGTCTTTTTATCCCAAAGAATAGTGATATCTATCTCTGGAAAGTACACTACAATGTAGTACCCTGCTTTCCAAAGCTGGTATGTAGGATTATCTTCCAGAAGAAAACCTGATTCTTTCTTTAAAAAAAATAACAATAAAGAAAAAAATGAATTCCTTGTTCTGTAATGAAAATGTAAACATTAATTAATATGCACCAATAAGTATCCATGAACTGGTATTTTTGCTCAGCCCTGTCTTTTTCTGAATTCTGTAGTAAAAGGCAAAATAAATGCCAAAAATAGGAAGTAGTTAAAATTGGTAACAAGACGCAGACTGGTAAATGGGCTCAACTGGAATAAATGAGCAAAGGGAAAAGGTATTTCCGTTATAGAAAAGAGCATAAACAAAGGCATGGGCACAGACTGCATTAAGGGGATATACCTGCTGACTTAGAAACTCTGTATTGATGACCAATAAATATGACTAAGTACTAAAAGTGTACGATTTTATCTGCATAAATGAAAAGCAGAACAAAAAGTGTATGTGCACATATACATACATATGTATGTGTGTGTTTACACACACACACACACACACACACACACACACACACACACACCACACACAGAAGAGATAAATTTCCATTAGAAGGACTTAGGAAGATTTCTTGGAAGGGGAAGGACATGAACTGGTCAGTGAGTAGCCAAACATAGGAGGGTATATAGGGCTGGGAGTGAGAATGGAGAATAATTCATTCTAAGCAAATGGAATCACTTGAATAGAAGCACAGAGGCAGAAAGCAGAATATCTGCTCAGGACAAAGGCGAGCACCAAAGGGCTAGAACACGGATTCCAGGACAAGTGCGATCTGAGATCTTTGCAGCCAAGTCACCTATACAATCAAGGGCTGTTATTTTATGTACAAAATGTACTCAACAAAGACTTTTGAATAGGAAAGTGACAAACCATGTTTGTATGTTAAAATAAAACAGTGTATATGATAGAAAGAATACTAGTAGGGACCAACTGGGGAAAATATAGAGCCCCTTCAGCCTAAAGTGAGAAATATGCAATAATAAATTTTAATAATAAATAAAATATAAAAGAATAAATTTTAACAATAAAGTGAGGGCTGTACTCTATAAAAGATTACATTGAAGCTGACACTGAAATGATAATAACTTCAAAAATACATGTTCAGTCAAAGTGAGTAAAACAAATGTAGCCGGAAGCAAAATAAAAATTGTGAAGGAGATACGGAATCCTTTGGTTATTTTTTCTCCCAGTAACAACAAAAGCACAGTTTGGAAATACTATGTAGTGGAAATTTTTTATAAATATTCTGTAAGGCAAATTAAATATTTTTAGTCATATCCATAAGGAGTTTTCAGTCTCCCAGATCCATATCAAGCTCCTAAATGGTCAGTAGATTGTACATAACAGCACATAGTGTGTAACCATGGATGTTATGAATGTGTTCTTCTTAATCTCACTTCCTTCTCCTCTCACGTGCCATGTTGGGGTTACGTTCCTGGGTACCTGTGAGGGTCTGCACTCAAATTGGGAGTATGCGTGTGTCTGAGTGAGCTAAGCATTAAATAATAAAGAACAACATTGTGACAGGTCAAGAGAGACTACAAAAACAAAGGAAAATAATTATTTTTCTATTTTGAACCAGGGCTCCCACATTTTTCTTCTTCACAAGGTCCATCAAATGTGTAGCCTGCCCTCCCCCTTCAGTAACTCTCTGCCTTAGAGCCTATGTTCTTTTTTCAGTTACACTTTTCAGCACCTTTTGATTGCATGATTTGTCTTTGGCTTTATTATCTGTCTTTCCCCCAACCTGAATGTGACTCCTGGAAAGATGTCCTCTGTCAAGTTCATGGTTATATCCTCAGCTTCTATATCAAAGTGTGTCTCAGGTATTTTTAAAACTTTCCCACACAGGCCTATCATAGGTCTCACCTTCTGGCCTGGTCAGCAACAGTTAAAGCAACTAAGTGGAATAACTGTGGCTCATACCTCATTTTCAATCCAAGAAATACTTTTTCATGTATTTTCCTATTGAAGTTCCCTCAGACTGGTTGACATGCCACTAGAATATAAAATGAATTTTTGGGAGAGGCATCTTTTTATTAGACTTATTTCAGGTTGGTTTTGCCTCCGTTATCCTGATGTAAAAGCACATCTTTACCATTTGCCTGTAGAGGTAAAATCCTTCCTTTTTATTAGACAGGGCAGTTTACTACAAAAAAAACAATCCTATTTGGTCAAAAATAGATACTGTAGGTACAGCATGGAGAATAAAACCAATGATTCTGTAACATCTTCCTACACTGACAGATAGTAACCACACTAGGGGGGGTGAGGATTTAATAATGTGGGTTACTCTTGAACCACTGTGCTGTATACCTGAAACCAGTGCAAGATTGTATATCAACTATACTTCATTTTTTAAAAAAAAGAGATACAGTACTCCTTTCTTTTCCAATTAGGAAGTAAGGATGCTTCTGTTTAGAAGTGTAAGGTAATATGAATTGCCCAAAATAGAGACCTCCAGTTCAGATGAGAATTATATCACTTTAAACAAACTCCAGTGGTATTAGAAAGTTGTAAGTATGGAGAATTAAAACATTTAAAGTACAGCTTAAATGAATTCATAAAATGTTAATATCTTACATAGTTGATAAAATTAGAATTATACATTTATTGAAAAAAGTGAGGGCTTTTTCTTCCCCTAAATAAGCAATGCATTTGCCCTAAAATAAATGGCACTTATTTTCACTTTTGATGTTCAAGAAAAAATATCAGCAGGGAATTTGTTATGGTAAAATTATTTTTATGACTTTTCTTCATAATTCACAGTTGATAATAAGGCTATTCATCAGCATCTGCATACAGGGTGAACACTGGAACTTAAAAGTCACACAGAGCTACAATTACCACTTCTAAAATGTGGCAAACTGTCTTTGTAAGATAGTTTTGCTATTTTCTTTATTGAACACATCATTGTTCTTAGAGAGAACCTTCACCGATAATTAAATATCCAGCTGATCACTATCCCAAACTACAGTAATTACTTCAAAAAGGTGTCACCATGACTGTAGAACCTCTGGCTGGCTGGCTGATCTCAGCGTTTCTGACTGTGATAGAAGCTCGGATCTAAGACACTGGTTGCTGGGGCCCAGGAACCCGCTCTTCTAATAAATGTGCCAGAAGATTTTAATGCATAATGTTTGCAGACCAAACTGTTGAGAAACACTGACATAAAATCTCCAGGCAAGGACACTTTTTAAAGGCCATATGTCAGACCATTTCACCTCTCAACTCCAAAATAGTAAGTATACCTTACACTACTCAAGAACCTCCAGGTTCTGGAACCAGCCTCCTTGTCTGATGTCCTTGTCACCATGCCCCCTGCATTAAAGCCAGTCTGGACACTCTTCCCTGAATCTCTCTGCTCCATCATCTCTCCACCATCCCCAAATACTTCAACCAAACTAAAGCACAGGTAGTTCTACAAACACGCCATTTCGTCTTTCAACTCTCCTCCTGTCGACATGATCGTTGCTCTGTGCTGATTGCCCTTCTACTCTTTCCTTCTACCTGGCTAATACCCGCTCAGCCTTTAAGACTCAGTTCAGATCATTTCATCCAGAGCATGTTTTCTAAGCCTTCAAAAAGAAACAGGATAAAGAGCCATTTCTTGAAATCCATAGTTTCACTTAATCCTCATATGAACTTGGAAGTCGATTTTATAATCATCCCAAATTTACTTATGGGAAAGCTGCAGCTTGGAGAGGTTAAGTGAACTCACCAAAAGTGACACAGCTAGTAGGTGACAGGTTGATCAGAGGGCCTAAGTGGGTACTGACCAACCCCACCGACCAAACCTACAGTCGATGCTCATAACAGCTACCCCAAACTTCTAAGGGTGGCTGACGCCTTCTCAGGGATTCCCATGCTGTCCTAGACACACTCCTGCCCTTAGCACATCAGCTGCTCACCTTATTTCTTTGCTCGTATCCCTTCCCTGAGTATAAGTTCCCTGAGGGCAAGAACGGTGTCTTCACTGCTGTCGTCCAGCAATTAACATGGGTTTAGGGACATAGAGACATTGGATGAATGGATTTATTTGTTCTTTCAGACAGGGCAGGCTCCAAGCACACAAGAACTGACAAGGAAGACAGTGGTCCCCATTGTCACAGAACTCACCAACAAATGGAGAAGACGGGTAACCACACAAGCCATTCACTAAAGCATGAGGAGTATCCTAACCGGACGCTGAGGGCATGAGGAGGAGGGACCTGAAGGACATGAGATAAGACCTATCATATAAGAATAAGATAAATGCAAGGTTGATCCAGGTGGGAGCAATGACATTCATGAGATGAGAAAAGGAACACAGAGCATTTGAAGAACCAATAAAATACTCCAACTTCTGCAACACAGGCTTGAAGCAGAAAGTAATGGGAAATGCGGCAGGAGAAGTACGCCTGGCCGCACTGGTGAGACCTTGTAAGGCCAATGGGAAATCATTTGAAAGTTTTGAAGTGCAGGCATGACAGGAGATTGGGTTTCCATTTCAGAAAAACAACCCTGGCCACAGGGTGGCAGAATGGATTAGAGGGGACAAATTAAGACCAGAAGCTGAGAGTTTACTTGGGAGGACACTAAAGTACTCTGGGTAAGAGGTAGTGGCTGCTCGGGCCAGAACGGGAATGAAGGAAAGAAGAAAGATTTGGAATTCGGAGAAGCAAAATGTCTACAGTAGAGACAAGTCAAGTATGATTTACTGAAGCCATAGAAAGTGACAAAGAAAAAAAATCCAAATCTGGTAACCACTCGCGGAGAAAAATACCCTCAAATTGTTTCTGTTTTACTTTCAGTAGCTTCAGGGCAAGTTAAACGATCCTAAAAGAAATAAATCACTAACCTGTTTGTAAGGAGTATCATTCAGGTAAATTTCAGTGTCCCCAGCTGAAATCAAAACACTTTTAGAACAAACAATATCATTGTCAAAGCATTTCTTGTTCTGGGCAATGACAGATATATCTGAATCATGTGTACCCTGAAATGTAAAAAATATTATATTAATGCAAATGTATACTATATTTTTTAGTTTTTTTTATTAACAAATCTTTAAAAAGACCAAGATTTACAATGAACTGTGTTGAAATTGAAATACAACTTACCTCTAAAATAAAAATCATTTTGATCTAATCATGTGAAGAATTTTATAAAAGTATACCAAGATAGCTCAGTCTGTAAACATTTGTCCCTAGTAGCTTCTGTTAAAATTATGTTCTACCAAAGCTGTCTGTCCATCTTATTATTATAGCAAATTTAACAACCAGGTTTTTTTCAATAAATACCCAGGAAGACATGTCACTTAGGGGACTTTTCAAAGAAATATTTCCATGTTAGACCGCATTTTTTATTTTAGGGACTTTTCTGGCTAAATAATCATTTGCTTACAAGTTGAAAGTTGAAATAGACACAAAACCTTGGTACGTGTTAGTAAATAAAATTATGTATATCATTTGAGGGGTTCCTTTGAATTTTACACAAGTCTCATTTAATTCTTATGATCATTTTGATCTTATAATATTTGGATAAAATAAAATAATTATTTTATTATTATCTCCATTGTGCAGATGAGAAAACAGAAGTTAAGAAGAATGAACTGTCCAAAGTCACTTAGCGAAATGAGGGCATGAAAAGAATTCAAAACCCTAAAATTTTGTTTCTTTGCTGCTGGTGGAGGAATGAGAAAGTGCCTAGCAATGGCTTGGGAGAAAGTCAAGGGTAAGTCCTAGGGCATTGTTGGTCTCAGAGAGTATCACCGAAACCCAAATCCACCCCACCGGCGCTCAGCTCTCCTTCACTTTCTTTTGGCCACAACCCACTCCATCCACTGAGAACACTCTCTAGAATCAGGGTTTCTGATTTTGTATCTCAGCTTCATGAATGTGCTTTTGTAGTTCTACAGACTCTGGAGGTTCCTTATAAAATGTTTTTGAGTATCTGTATTTTTCTAGAAAGAAAATTCATGGTTTTCATCAAATTTTGAAATGGTCTTCATCCCTTTGAAAGTTAAAAGCCACGCTGCTCTAACAGTCTTTCCACTAACTTGTAGAAGGTGGTAATTTCTCAGAAGGAAAGTTAGCATTTCTTTTTGGACTCCATGTCCAATTCTCGAGGGGTTCTTCCTGAAGCCTTTTCATTTTTAGATATATTATGGGGAACTGTTTATTTTCAAAGTGAATAAAGTTTTTAAATGTTTGGAAATCAGACAGGTCTTGATATAAATTCTCCACATGCAGTTTTTCCTATCATCAGCAACATGAACACTAGCTCAATATATCTCTTGGTTTGGCCAAATTCTTCCTGTCTTATTAGTAATCACTATAGCATAGTGCCTAAAGGACAGGATTGCAGCAAATGGTGTTGACGGAGTAATTAATGTGTCCCTCTGTGACCCATTTTCCCCTCCTTCACAGAAGAGCTTCTGCTTGTTCTTAAACAATCTTTTTGCAAAGCATTGCCTAAATTTTGTGAAGAATAATAGTAAGGGTCATTAAGACTGTTACGGCATTGTACTCCTCAAAACAATAACGCCACACTCTTCTGCCCCTATGACCAATATTCAAAGGAGTAAAAAATGTATATAATTCATGGTTTTGTTTGGCTCTCTCTGGGGAAAAGTTACTTGGATTAAGGGATGTGAAAATCTAGCTGAAAGGCTTTCTATTGCCATTATGTTTCTATTGCTATTCATTAAAATGCCTTAATGTTAGCTTTATTTTTTTATATTAACTGAGAAATAGCATGCAATATTCTACATTCTATGGTCTGCCTTGTAATATCATGTTATGCTGACAGTAATCTGAAACAGTATCAGCTTTTAAGAGTCACATTTGTACAATTTTCATTTCTAATGTATTTCAAGAAATATTAGATTTGGAGATAATGCCACAGAGTTGTTAAGCAACATAGTAAATAATGAGTATAAAGCTAGAGGAAAAGGGTCAGTATCAATGTGCCACATGGATTCCTCAAATTCTTTATTCTTAGGTACTAAAAATATTCATGGAGAATATTCCTCAAGTGATTCTCAAGCATAACATGTCAGCATCTCTCAAGGTATAGAGTATATTATTTACTCAACATGTTACCATAGCACTTGTCATAGCTTCAGCCCCTTATAAGGGTAACTATACTCAATGCACATGGCTTCACACCATCATAAAGTCAAAACCCATAACTCCAACCATTGTTAAGTTGGAAGTGGTCTGTATAGGACCTGACACACAGATATTGCACAAGAAATATTCATGTGAGAAATGAACTTTGAGAGTGATGAAATTAGAATGGGTTTTAGAGGTTTAAGGAGAGCATTGCAAATTTGAGATATCACCTGAAGAGAATGTTGAGAAACCTAATCTAGAACAAATTATAAGAAAAATCCTAGCAGTAGTTGGTGGCTGTCATTGATTAATGGAAGTAGAAATCTGAGAATTGGGATATTATATTTCCTATTTTTGCTGAGGACATCCAGTGTTCTGTCTCTTTTTCTTTGGGTTTACAGCACAGATCAAGGCCCTGTTTGGTTTCTCATCCCTTTCTACTCTTAAACAAGTCTTACCTTAGGAAATACAATTATGTATGACCTTTGTCCTAACTTTGCTTCAACACACTTAAAAAATAATGTGCTATATTCCAGGTGCTATTTACAATAAAGGGTAAATAGCCTCCAAAACGAATGAAACATCAGAGAACCTGAAATTTTAAAGTTTGACAAACATCAATTTGGCAAATAATTACTCTCTCCTAAAACTAGGTTGCACTTAAAACTCCACAATCCAGAGATGGGAAAAAGAAAAAAAAAGGACTATCGTATCTCCTCAAATGTGACCATCAAGTAAAATTACACTTTTAAAATAAAGTTGAGTAAGTGTTCATTTTTTTCAAGTCCAACCAGCAAATAAAAGGAAAAGTTGTATGAATTAGATTACTAAATCTTCCAGGGCCCAAAGAAATAAATGATAAGTTTTCCCACCTAAAAATGCCATACAAATAACAAAGAAAAGCCTGGAATTTGTAATCAAGACAAGCAGGAAAGAGAGCTCCTTGACAAGGAAGAATATTGAAACTGCTGGTCACAGAAGTGATTCCTGACACTAAAAATCAGCAAGTAACTGAGTGGTGCTGGCAGCTCTTGCATCCTCCTCAAAGGAAATGCTGAAACTTCCCCCCCGCCATGCCAAAAAATGAAAAGAAGAAGGTTCTGCCTTGGGAAAGCTAGGCAGATGGAGTAAGCGAAAATGTGCATATATCTTAACTGAACAAAAATTAAAGCAGAAAAAATCCAATAGTTGAGAAATTTACTATCTGGCATGATAATATTTCGAGACCATGAAAATTAGACTGCAGTGGTTAGTCACTAAGTTGTCTTTGGCATGAAATAATTATCTGCTCCACAGTCAAATAAAATATTTCTTGGTTTATCAACTATATATTGGTCAAATTATCCTAACCATTTTGAGGGCCTGGCTTGGGTTTTTAAAGTGCCCATTACAGTATAGTAAATAATTCACTAATATAATTCTAATTAATTATTAATGGCAGCCTCCCTTAATTACCAAATCAAAATCAGTAAAAGTTAAGTTCTGATGTGTATTTTTTATAAACACATTATCTTTTTAAAGAACAGTATTAAAGAAATAAGAATACTTCTGTTTGGGCAGAAACAAAAGACACAATTACAGAACTTGAAAATTTAGACTTTCAGTATTCTTAATATCTTAATTTTACTACATGAACCCTAATGACAGGTTTTATCCAGATTGGCAAGGAAGAAATTAAACTGTCCCTGTTTGCAGATGAAATGATATTGTACATAAAAACCCCTCAAGACTCCACTCCAAAACTACTAGAACTGATATCGGAATACAGCAAAGTTGCAGGACACAAAATTAACACACAGCAATCTGTGGCTTTCCTATACACTAACAATGAACCAATAGAAAGAGAAATCAGGAAAACAACTCCATTCACAACTGCATCAAAAAGAATAAAATACCTAAGAATAAACCTAACCAAACAAGTGAAAGACCTATACCCTGACAACTACAAGACACTCTTAAGAGAAATTAAAGAGGACACTAACAAATGGAAACTCATCCCATGCTCTTGGCTAGGAAGAATTAATATCATCAAAATGGCCATTCTGCCCAAAGCAATATACAGATTTGATGCAATCCCTATCAAGTTACCAGCAACATTCTTCAGTGAACTAGAAAAAATAGTTCAAAAATTCATATGGAAACACCAAAGACCCCGAATAGCCAAAGCAATCCGAGAAGAAAGAATAAAGTGGGGGAGATCTCACTCCCCAACTTCAAGCTCTACTACAAAGCCATAGTAATCAAGTCAATTTGGTACTGGCACAAGAACA